AATAATATAAAAATAATTTTTGCTGTTATAGCTTACTACTGTTCGAAACTTCTCTATTATTATATACATTTATAATAATTTATAATATATTTATAATATATCGCATGAATCTACATTGAATGAGCTGAATATAAACAAATATTTTAGTACATTTTACATATATAAATAAATGTTTAAATCCAGTTAAATATTAGCACATCTTGACTCAAATAAATGAAAAATGTCATAAATTATTTGTAACAAAAATGAACAAAATATGAGATAACAAATCTATAATAACGTAATCATAATTTTCCGTTGATAATATAAAGATTATTGAGAAATACGTAAATAGTGTCTACAAGGTAAAAAAAACTGACTGATAAGTCGTTTTTAAAGTGCATAACAAATGCAAAGGGAGAAAAAAATGCTTTGACAACTAAACACTTGTAGATAAAACGGAGAGATACTTATACAAAAAAATTCGCTTTAAGCAAATTATTGTTCTACAGTGACTATTAAAATGATCATTACTTTGAACAAAACTATAAATATATTACTGTTAAAAAAAAGTTATATATTTACCTGGTAATTGGAACAAAACGTCCATTGCAGTCAAATGAATCAATGGTCTCAATATCATCTTTAGTTAATTCAAAAGAGAATACATCGAAATTAGATGCAATGCGACTCTTAGTAACCGACTTTGGAATGGGAATATTGCCGCGTTCAACTTGCCAGCGAATTAGAATTTGTGCAGGTGTTTTCCCATATTTAGTAGCAATGGCAATAATCTAAAGAAACCACATAAGCATATAAAATAATAAAAGTAAATTATATGTAAAACCTTAGGATCATCCAACAAAACGGGGTCACCAGGCTTGGCCCAAGGACGATTAGGTGAGCCTAATGGACTATAAGCAGTAATAACAATATTTTTGGATTTACAAAATTCCATAAGTTTTTTTTGGTTCAAATATGGATGGCATTCTATTTGGTTAGTTACTGGTGGTATTTTAGCAGCTTGCAAAACACGTTCAATTTGACTTTTATTGAAATTGGATATGCCAATGGATTTGCAAAGACCAGCCTCAACAAGTTTTTCCATTTCTTTCCAAGTATCAACATAATCAACTTCAGAATAAAGTGTTTTACCGTCCGCATCAGATGGGAAAAGTTCACCATCTTCTTGGTATGCCATTGGCCAATGAATCAAATACAAATCCAAATATTGCAATCCCAAGTTCTTCAAAGTCTTTTCACATGCGGGACGAACTAAATCAGTGCGATGGAATGTATTCCAGAGTTTACTAGTTATAAACACATCCTCACTAGAAATATTGCATTGGTATAATTTGTTAAGAACTTAATAAATATTTTCAATATACCGCTTAACAACGCCTTCTTTAATTTTTACGCTTAAAGCCTCGCCTACTTCCTCCTCATTTTGGTAGACATGTGCACAGTCAATGTGACGGTACCCAATATCAATCGCATCTTTAACGGCTTGTGTTACCTCACCTTTTGGACTCTATTACGTGTTAAAGAAAGCAAAATTATTATAGTAATGTTAATTTTTAATAATTTACGTAGTTATATATAATTTTATATAATTATATTAAATATAAGTTTTATAAAATCTAAGTTGTTTTAGAAATATTACCTATTATGGTCTTATTAATTACGGATTTAGATATTGTTACATGGCTAAAGACTAAATTGTTTGCATATATATTAATTAACAAAATAATACTCTTGTTATTAGACTATTTCCTTTTTTATTATACATTTCGCTTATCTTAAAACTTTCATATAAAAAACTATTTTATTTATTATTATATATGTACATATTTACATACTAGCTATGATAACGTCTTCGCTTCAAAAAAATAAATTCCTTTAATTCATCCGATAATGGCTTTGCAATACTGTATAAAATATGTGATTATAATTATCACAAATCACTTTAATGGGAATTTAATTGAAAGCCAAAACTAATAAAATTTGTTTCTAAGCAAATATATTGTAATTTATAATTATAGTTTATTATTAAAAATGAAGACACAATTGTGTGTTACTACATATTTTCTCATCATTAAAATTAAATATATTAATTAATTATTTTTGATTTAAAATTTAATGGATTGTTTATATGTACTTCAACTGCTGGTTGGGGAAATGGGGGTTAAAATTAGGGCATCGATCATATCAATAACATGTCAAGTAGTGTAAGACATTTTGTGTTTGTATGTAATTATATAGTAATACATAGTAATTAATATTATAAAATTTTTGATCTGAATAATAAATAAGTATAAATGTACGTCGGTCCAAAATCGCTTTAAGGTAATATATTTAGATGAGTGGTTCCCAAGCAGTAGTCCGCGGAATACAGGTGGTTCACGAGATAGTTAAAAATTGTCCCGGAATCAAATTTATGAATGCATAGCTTGTATAGTGTGCACGAAGACCTCACTTATAAAAAAAATAAGTACAAAAATTTTACAAGTAATTATATGTACACCTATTTTATAGCCTATATATAATGTACCAATGCATACAGTTCATTATACTCATACCAGAGATGCATAAAACATATTAAAATAATCATACAGTTTATTATTCTTAAATTTTAGGTAACTATTAAAAATAAAATTATCATAGTGGTTCTTGATCAAAAAAAGTTTAGAAACCGCTAATTTAGATGTCATTATTGAAGCCCACAACAATCCACATGTGTAGTCCTTTACGGATGTGGTGAATGGCAGTTATTTATCGAAGTCTACAAATAGATAGGGCTCGTTAACCCAACCGTGCTTGGAACCGAAACATTTTTTATTCGAAAGTACTAGTGTTCTTCAATGAAAAATTCTCTAAAGGCCTATTAAAATGTTAATTCAAGATCTTTTTAAGGTAAGTCAATTCATGATATACATTTCTGCACTTTTAATTTAATATATTAAAAATATCTTATGAGCTTAAAAAAACTGATCTTAAGAAACTCGATCAAAATGGGGAGAGATATACCAGAAACTACATCGCAATACCTTATATAGGGACTTGTTAAAACTTACTTATTAATTTAGAACATGATGACTTGCACTTGCGAATTACATATGTATATATACATATGTATGTAAAAAATTCAAGGTCAAAACAATAAATTATAATTGTTTTAAAAAACTAATTTCTGTTGTTTACAATATTAGTAATAATACATTTCTATATAAATATATTTATTTATATATATATTTAATATATTAACATATTTATTTTATGTGAGCAATTATATATGTAATTATATATATATATATAACCAGAAGTGCAATTTTGCTATTCTATTAAAGCCTCATAAGAATAGTTTACGAGCCAGTGAAATATGCGATACTCGCACTGTATATATGTATGTAATATAATAAAAATGTCTGTTTTGTTTTAAACGTATGTATATTATATTTAATTATCTTGAAATAATATTAATAGAATATACATACATACATATATACACACACATTTAACAACACCGGTAAACATGACACGCGATCAGCGGTGTACCAAAACATTTATCTTTCTTTTATTTTAAACAAAATCAAGTAATTTATTTAATTTATTCTCATATTATTTTACAAAACAATATTTAAAACTTTTATAACATATAATACTAGCTCTAAAATTACAACAAAAAACTACAATTGTTACATATACTTACGCCCCAGGTGCCTAAACCAACAACTGGCATGGTTTTCCCATTGTTTAAAGTTACGTTTGGTACCGACATTTTTAACACTTTAATTAGTATAATTCAAAACACTATTAATTAAAATGAATTACTTGCAAAAATAATTACAATTTATTTTCTTACAGTAACTGCAAAAAAAACTAAACGAACCGGCTGCCAAGCAACTAAACATTGGCGTAGTCTTTGATGCTTTTATATACTTTTCGAAACAGCTGTCAGAAAGCTTTTATGTGCAAATGTCAAAATTGTATGGGTTTTGTGTACGTATAAAATTGTATTTAAAATATTAGAAAAAAGTAGTAATAATAGTATTTGAAAATAATATTTATTTGTTTAGGCCGTGTGCGAGTTAGAGTAAATTGAGGTAAAGTATGTATATATTATTTTTGGTTAAGTTTTCAAATTTATTTATATATATATTAAACATTGCATAAAATTTTCACAATGGTAATACCAAATTTACCTAATTTTTATCTAATTTACTCTACACGAAATTCTGGTAAATACCAACATTCGCTGCCATACCGACATAATTTACTAATTCCCTTAATTTACCATTAATTTACTAAAAATCGCAACGGCCTTAATATATTATTAAGCATTCAATAGAGACTTTCTCAATTATTTGATAATAGTGATTAATAATACTATTTTAATTAATATTATTGAACATTTTAATAGAGACTTTCTCAATTATTTGCATAATTAATTTTTGACAATAATAAAATAATGTAACCACAACTCATTAAATTATAAAATTGTATATATATATACCTATATATATATATACAATAGTATATCTTTAACAAAATATATATAAAAATGTATTTTTTTTTTAATATTAACACTGGACTACAGATATAAAGTTTCTTTTTTTTGAAATTTTGTAAGACTTCTGGGCTCGCAGATAATAGCGAGTTAAAGTTTAAAATTTGTGATGTTACAGTATTAGGGCTATACAATTTTTGTTTCCATAGTAAGAAAAAGAGGGATGTATGTATTTATTGAAAATTTATTCGAGATATGAAATTTGTATCTCTTAGTTTAAAAATTTTTTATCAACTCTTTAAAATTTGACGTTTTGAAATTTGACCTATTATTGTCAGAACTAAAAATGTCTGGGAAAAATACGGGTTGATTTGAACTTAGCAGCCTAAAACTAACATAAAACCGTTGAGGAATAAAGTAAGAGCAGAGTGTAATGTATTTTTTTTATAATTAATAATTTATTTTGTAATTATTTTTTATTATGTTACTGAATAATTTGTATATCTAATATCGTAATAAAAATTATATTCCATAGTGCGTTAATATTTTCTTATGATGGCGTCACGAGGATTGTGATATATCATTAGCTATAATGCATTTTATTTAAAGGGATAGTCCGGATGTTTTCTGGCACTTAATTAAAAAACAATAAGTTAATAAATATAAATAAATATATATAGAACCAACACAAATTTATATACTTACGTTTTGAAATGTACATGACGATAATTAATATTTAACTTATTCAACATCTTCATAGCTTCTTCAGTCAGCTCAAAATCATTAACTAAAATATTAGACCTAATGTGCGCCTTAGTGACCGATTTAGGTATAACTATATTGCCACGTTGTAACTGATATCTTATAAGAATTTGGGCTGGAGTCTTATGAAGAAGTTTAGCTAATTGTGTAATCTATGAAGGAAATTATAATATATAAGTAAATAAGCGTATAAGAAGAGTTGAATATATACCAAATAATGCTTACCTCTTTCCTTTGTATGAGAGGTTTATTACATGAATTGCAAAATGGATTTCGGGGCAAACCTAATGGACTATATGCAATCACTGCTATATCTTTTGATTCACAGAATTCTTTTAGTTTTTTTTGTGTTAAATAAGGGTGACACTCGATTTGGTTAACTGCTGGGTATATACTTGCATTTTTAAGTAAACGTTCAATTTGCGTTTCATTGAAATTGGATAGACCAATAGCTTTGCACAGACCATCTTCTACAAGTTTCTCCATTGCCATCCATGTATCAACAAAATCATTATATGAAAAAATTATTTCGCCTTCAGAATCTAAAGGAATGAGATCATTTCCTTCCTTAAAAGCCATTGGCCAATGCATTAAATACAAATCCAAATAATCTGTTTGCAAATTTTTTAAAGAAGTTTCGCAGGCTAACCTCACTAAACTCGGTCGATGAAAAGTATTCCATAGTTTGCTTGTTATAAAAATGTCTTTTCTATTTTAAAAAGAATTTGGAATTTGGAATTATTAAACAAAAAGTAGTTAATTATTCAGTACCGGCTTAGTTGAGTTCTTCTAAACATTGCACGCAATGCTAATCCGATTTGTTGTTCGTTGTGATGAGCGTGAGCGCAATCAAAATGACGATACCCGGCGTCAATTGCTGTCATCACTGCTTCTCCAACTTGATAGTCCAGACTCTAAAATTATCATTATTATTTAAATAATATTAAGCTATTTATGTAATTATACTAACGTTCCATGTACCCAACCCCAACATCGGAATTTCTTCACCGTTATTTAGAAGAACTGTTAACTTGGACTTGGGCTTTACGTCAATTTCTTCCGATGTAGAGCTACATATTTTTTCAACATATTAAATGTATTATTTTCACTTAACAATATAGTCAAATAGTAGTATATAATATATAAAACTAAGTAGTCCAAGTATTATTAAAATTGACAGAGATTTTTTAATAATTTTTAGAAATAATAAATACCTCACTATTTTGATGATTGGGGACACTTTATTTTTACGCTGATAAACATTATATATATAATTATTTAACGCTTTAAGTTCTCGGAAGTTAACTAAACTCTTAACAGTTTTCGCAAACATGGTGGAATATTCAAGCCCTAATTCCAAATCTACTACTCCAGTGGAATTCAACTCAGTAATGCATCACAGGTCAATTTTACACATTACGGTCTCGAAATTGACCGTATTTTAGTTAATTTAAGCCCTTCCAAAGAAATATATTAAAAAATATAGGTTTAATTTAGGAAACTTAAATCTAACATTTTTTTGAACTTTCTTAAGTCAAAATTTTTATTTTATAGAATTTTTAAAAATTATACTTTATTAAATATTTTAATTTATATTTGTGTTTTAAGATAAATTTTTTTATATAAAACTGAATCATATAATCCTTACATATAGTCTCATATCTACCAACAAGTATAGTAATTCAAAAGAAATATCTAGCATAATCTTATGAAAATTTTTAAGGAAACAGTAACAGACTTCTCAGTATTAAAACTCATGTGTGGATATTTGATTGAACACATAAAGTAATAACGGAGACAAAACAGATACCTCAATTCTATAAAAAAAAATAACTATATATAATAAAGCATCTGTACTTAATGCATCAGAACACAATAGATTTGCAAAATAATTTCAAATCACTACTAGGCTATGGATATAATGCCTAGAATATAAGCCAACAAATTTCTACAACTCACTTTATGAGTAAGAAAGCAAAAACTACATAGTTTATCCGTGACTGGGACATAGCTCCACAAACTGAACCAAAATATGCAAACAAATAATACCAAGTTCAAAATTCAAAACTGGAACTTGAAACAGCTTGAAAAGTGATGGCCAGAAATTATATAGAAATTGCTCAAGTAAACAATAATTCCGCAGAAAAGGAGATTCCTAGAATAAATACTAAAATTAATAAAGAATCCAGCATAATTAAAAGGATGAACTAAATCATTAACATTAGTAGGGAATACAAGAGAAATCTTTGTGGTTGAAACACTCTTTAAATGAGTTTCTGTATGCGCTACTATTTATATTGGCAATTAAATGCAATAAACCGCAGGTATTCTGCGCAAAGTATATGTATTGTTCTTTATTAACGACTACGATAAGACAATATTTGACATAAACAAAAGGAAATCTACATGAAAAATATATATTTATTGCAAAAAAAAAATATTTATATAATTCAAGATCAAATCAAATTCTTTATAACTCTTATATGTTAACTAACATATCCAAAATTAAAAACTGAATGAAATAGAAAAACCTATACAATCGATGAAAAATAACGAAGCGAGAGCTCCAGGCAAGGCTTCAAGTGACACTAGTGTCTCTTAGCTAATATATCTAAGCTAATATCTTCTATCTCTCTTACTTACAATATACTTGTATATACTGAATGCCTTGTACTTACAATGTCTTATATTTATTCGCAAGTACACTCCGATTTATTAGATTTCACAAATGGATAATCCGGATGATGTTTCGCACTACAATAAATACAATACTTAAAAATTAAAAAAATATATTTTAAATATATATATATATGTATATATATATATATATATTTAATAATGGTTTAAAAGTTTTGATAATTGAATTTTGAATTTTAAAACTTTTTAAAACTACTATTGTTCTTACTCAGAGAATGTAATGAAGCGAAAATCTCGGTTCATTTCGTCCAAAGAGGACATGTTTTCTTTTGATAACTCAAAATCTTCAATATCGAAATTGGATGTAATGCGATCTTTATTAACTGATTTCGGTATAACGATATTTCCACGTTGAAGTTGATAGCGAATGAGAATTTGTGCAGCAGTTTTCTCAAACTCAAACGCCAACCTCTCCACCTACAAGTACAAATTGAAAATATGAAATACAAACTTTTTAAAAAAATTAAAATTGAGTCTTCTTTTATTAGAACATCTATATGTTGTTTTAATAAATGTACTCATATGTTTACAGCTGCATATAAAATAAGTTAACAGTAACTAAATTCTTCAATACTTAACTTATCAGCGAATATGGTAAAAGTATAATCCAATCTTCATACAATCTATTAAATATTATACTTACTTCACTCTCTTCCATAATAATTGGTTGTTTCTTTCCTTTCCAACCAGGGTTATTAGGTGAACCTAAGGGACAATACGCAGTTATTGCTATGCATTTCGATTTACAAAACTCCATAAGACTTTTTTGTGTCAAAAATGGATGACATTCTATTTGATTCACTGCTGGTGGTATTTCACAATTTTCTAAAAGAACTTCAAGCTGATCTTCATTAAAATTCGCTACTCCAATTGATCTACATCGCCCATCCTTAACAAGTTGTTCCATCTCTTTCCAAGTTTCAATAAAACTAACTTTTGAAAACAATAATCTTTTACAAGCATCTCTCGGAAAAAGACTGCCACCTTCCCTAAAAGCCATCGGCCAATGCATTAAATACAAATCCAAGTATGATGTATCCAGATCCGTTAACGTCTTATAACAAGCGGGGCAGACTAAATCTGGCCGATGAAATGTGTTCCATAGTTTGCTTGTTATAAACAGTTGTTCTCTATTATACAACATACATTCTTAATAAGTATATTAAAAATATGACTTTCATTTAATACCTATCTAAATACTGTTCTTCTAGTGCTGCGCTAAGGGCTGGTCCGATAATATGTTCATTCCTGTACACGTGAGCACAATCGAAATGTCGATACCCCACAAGTAATGCAATTCTCACCGCTTCGCCAACATCTGCCTCTGAACTCTATCATAAAAACAATGTGTAGTTATTGGATATTAAGATTATAGAAATATTTGTATTATAGTCACATTCCATGTTCCCAAACCTAACATAGGTACTTCGTAGCCACTATTTAGAACTAACTTAAACTTCTTGTCTAGTTTTCTATTGCAAGATTTCGGCATTGTTGGACTGGAAAAGAAAATATACTTTTTAATTCTAGGCAGTACTATTAATGCTAATAATAATATGGCTTTTAAATAGTTTTATTACAATAATAATAATAAATATCATACTAAAGCTTTTGATTTAGCTAATAATTGCAATTGCCTTGAAAAACCAAAGTGTCATTATTTTAATTCTTAGTATATTACAAGAATAATATAAAAGTTCTAAATTGTTCTTAATAATTTGTTCCATTTTCAAGAATATCTCAAGATTAAGTAAGTAAGTAAGATTAAAATTTAATGAAGCAAGTGACATATATGGTACATTCATATAAGCAACGATTATTAAGAAAAATATTACAAGTACTCCAAAATTCTTTTTCCAAGAGAACAAATATCAATAGCACTACTCAATCGGAGCTTAATATACTCACGATCAGATTGAAATCATCCAATACATTTGAACGGAATTACAAATCATTTACAAAGAACATAAATTATCGACATCATATGTTATCTAGCAATTTCAATGATGGACAATAATAAAACAGTTTCACTTTATGTGATAAGTAAATTTCAGATCAACGGTAATCTTCTAGAAAAGCATCACCGCTGGAACATCCATGTATTAAGGTTAGAGAAATATATGCTGATATTAGCATTGCAAGAAATTCCTGAAATATACTACTAGAAGTAACATATGATATAAACGAATATGAAACGACTATGAAATAAACGAAGACGCATTTCAGGACCATGTGACATCAACTTACCATACAAGAAGGGCTGACTGGAAACAGTGTATAGACAGTTAAAAATGAATAACAATATACAAAATATATCTCAACAACAATAGCAATACAAAAATGTTCCCACTTTGTAACTACATTAATATAAAAATATTAGTCATTTTAAAGGTAACTCCTAGATTTCGTCCTTTTATAGAGCTCCATATGCTGTTAGTTACGAACTATATTTTCGTATAATAAAAACGGATTGATATTGTATCAATTGATGTGTACGTTTTTTAGAAACGCTAAAAAATCGCAAAACACAAATAATTGCATCAATCAAAATAAAAGCATCCAGTGAAGAAGTTTCTATATCCATTAACCAAAGTTCTGAACCCAATTTAAACCAATTTGCTTATTTAAGCACCACAATCTCAACAAAGTACAGTGTAACAAAATATATATTCAAGCGGATCTTCAAACCCAAAAATCTCTTCAGATCTGTTAACAGCTATGAAAAATCAAAGATATATACGTATACACTACATTTAAATCGAAAGTCTTAAATGTAGTACAATATGGAAACGATACTTGGTAAAGTATAAAAGCTTTGAACATCAAATGACAATATTTCACGGATTAATTTAATTTTGACCATCGTTCCATACGCAAGACGTCAACAATAAAAGTGTGTAGCTTATAACGTTATAAGGGAAATAACTTTGATTGATTAACTCAAGAAATTCGGAACATTTCTGAAATATTTATTTTGTGCTCAAACCACCATTTTGCTCAACCAAACTGAAGCTTTGTCACTGTCATGCCCTCGTGGCCAAAAACATGGTTACAAAGCCATGCCCTCAGTATATTGTGCAATGACAATACCCGGAC